ACCGGGGGTTCCGCGGAATTCACGAAGACATTCACGGAAATTTTGCACAATCTAGGAGCGGTATTGTATGAGGAAGGGAGGAAGAGCTACCCACCCCCAGTTTTCTTTACTCTAAAAAATTTTCCCCTTTTTCTTTTACATCTTTATAGATGCTATGGACTTCTGGGAGCATTGATAGTAATACGAAGGAAGTCCGGAAGTTTAAGTTGCGTTAACAGTCACGTTAACGCTTGGAAATTTGCCAAAAATAATTCGGAAATATTTTTGAAAATCTAATAAATCCGCAGTTCCTACTTCTTAGAAATAAAAATTCTTAGTATTGAAGATTCTCCGGTAAGTGTGACAAAACTTATGCAACAACCTAATACATCTACACATCAACTCATAAGACCACTTAAAACCCTATAGTATATCTCTACAAGGCAGTGACTTGGTAGAGACCTCTGCTATGAAGAAGCAGAATAGAAGGCTATCGAAGTAAACTCACAAAGACAAAGTCCGTCAAACGACAGTCGCTTAACTCCAAACATTCAGCAAGGGCTTCCTGCTAGTAGCTGATATTGCATTCTTTATTGTAACACTAGTTTACGGTGCGACTTGTGAAACGAACTCTCAGAATGAAAGCCGTTTAGGATGCAAGCATTCATTTTCCTACTTTTTGCATCCTCATGCCATTGCGTGATGAACTTTGGTAGACTACAAAGTGCCGGTGTGAAAGGACTTGTTTACTGTAAAGGCAAGCCAGCCAAAGGAGTCTCAGTTAAACTTTACGAAAAGGAAGTCAGTGAGTCGAGTTAACGCCTACATGTAGCTTAGCTTTGGGAAGAGACAAATATTTTTAGTGTTCGATCGGCTAATGGACAAAGGCAAAACTGACAAATATGGTGCTTTCAAACTGTGGGGTAGGGCCAGAGAATGGTCAGACATTGAACCCGTGTTATACATTTACAATAAATGCGGCAGGGTAAGATTGCAACATTTCATTAGCAGTATGTGCAGTACTTCGATCAACATTGTTGTTAGAAATTTGAAATGTTTTATTATGATTTCAGCGTTTTGCTCGAAAAGTCACCATCGACATACCATCAACTTACATCACACATTTTGGGCAGAAAGTAAAATTTTATGACGTTAGAAAAGTAGAATTGAGCAAAAGTTAGTACATTGATAGATAAGTCTTGCGCCAAATTACTCGTAACAATACCATTCTCAACAAATTGGTTCATTTCAACATTTAAAGGAAGAAAATTATGTGCATTTTAAATGAGAAAAAGAAAAATCATTGTTGGCATCTCGCAGCAATGCAAGCTGGTCGAAGCCTTGATTCGTGCTTTTTCAAAATCTTGTCATGGAAAATACCAAGTTGTCTTTCCAAATATCTATCCTCTTCAGTCAAGATCGCTACAAATAGTCACGTTCGATTTTATTTATCCGACTTTTTGACTAAGTTTCAAAATAATTTTCTAATATGTATTCAAAAAGTTCACATTTGTTGAACACATAACAAAGATCTAATTATTTTGAAGGTCTATAAAGCAACTCAGTATTTTTTAGTGCAAGACTATGTATCGACTGTACAGCTTATCTATAAATGTTTACGGTAACAAAAAAGATGTTCTGTTGCTGATGCATACTTTCTCAATAAAGCTTTTGTGCCTATCCATGTTTACATAGTAGTCGCTAACTTCTCCGTGGCCCCAGTTTGAATTTAAACAATCCGATAAAAGGGTTTTTTCTCTTCAACACTATAAACAGTAGATCTTTTGAATTTGGGCATCATGCAATTTATGAGCAGTCCTAGGCATTTCGGTCTACCTGTAATATTGCTTTTATGCTGAAGTATCTAGCCATCTGTCTGTTGGGTTTGGCTCACGTGGCTTTTAGCAAGGCAAAAGCCCTGTATGTTCATTTTTTATTCTACGTTATGGCTTGCTAGCTGGTACAGTACGTCTTGTCATTTCCGTGTCAAATGTTAGTTACTGTCTTGTGTGGTTGCTAAGGTACTGATACTGCTGTCCGCTACTGCTGCTACTGCTGACAAGGGGACGGTCAGACTTGGTTCCCGAACAAGGTATATAGCATCGCATTCGCGTTGAAACGCTAACCTCAAATGAATGTTTATTATCTATCTGCTAAGCGACTAGGAAGTAGTTACGAGAGTTTAAAAATGAATCCGTCAAATATTCTGTTCAAATGTTCCACAAAAACGTTACAGAACGCCTATAGGATTCTAATGGGTGTCTTTCTTTTTTTGTAGTCGAAATACTCATAAACGCTGGAATTACGCTCTCTTATACTGCCTTTCTTTACTTTTGGTTAGTAAAATGGGCACCATGAACTTCAAGGTTCGGTTGAGCTTTGAACACCAGACCATAAAACTTTTGGAGAAATGGAAAGATTTGGAATTTGGCGATTTAAGAGGGTAAGAAGTTTAGGGCACTTGGCTAGACCAACTTTGAGAAGGAGTTGGTCTCTCGGATGTCTGAGATATTTATCTAAGGGTATGGAGGATGTAACACTGAGGCACTTCAGGTAATGAAAATCTCTGAGAACGAGGATTTTGCGATGTTAACATGCAAATTCTGAGTTAGAAGAGACCGCGAAACTACGGACATTTATCTAGTCAAGTTTCAAACGAGAAAATTGTTATCACCCTGTATGCAAACCTGGAAAGGTAGGATTTTAGGTTTTTGAATTGAAAAAAAAAGACATTGGGTACCGAAAAAATGTGGAACTCCAGAAAAGCTAGCTGAAAGTTTGAAACAACTGTGCCCATCTTGACCATAACAAAATTGGGGAGAGTTTTGCCTTGACACCAAAGTAGAGCATACAAATGCTACAATACCGCTCACATTTTTTGAAAAATAGACGCGAATGTATGGACATGTATGGACATGTACGGACATGTCCATACATGTACGGACATGTCCATACATGTACGGACATGTCCATACATGTATGGACATGTCCATACATCAGCGTCGCGTGGCCATATCTCGCTTCAGAGTGGACGAATTCTGAATCCAAAGCCACCACTCGATTCAGCTCGGCGCGGAGAATCTTCTGATGTGTTGGAAGTGGGGGTACGATGTCTTCGATATTCCGTTTCCAGTTTTTTTCAATTTGTTCTGCGGAGGTCCTTTCGCGAATATGTGAAGCAAAGCTTACCCAACATAGAAAACTTTACAGAGTACTATTCGATTATACTGTTCTTGTAGAATATTGTGCGCTAAAAAATAGGCTCAGACTTCTTTTCGAAGGAGATAGAAGCGTTGGTGAATTTTGGAAAAATCACGCGTTTTCAAATTCTACTCGCCATAACTTCCTTCGGAATGAGTATGTTTTGAATCCGAGAGCAAAGCCTTGCTCAGCTCATCAAGGCGAATCTTTCTATATACAGCATGTTCCTGATATATCGATTTCAGTGTTCTTGAATCTTTCTGAGGACGTCTTTTCGCGAAGGTGTAAAGCAGCGAGCATTGTCCCGAGTAAATTCCAGCAAGGATCTTTCGATAGCACTTTTTCTGTAGATTATGATGTGCTAAATAGTAGCCGCAGGTTTCTTTTCAAAGAAAAAAGAACGGCTGGTGAATTGTGGAAAAATCTTGTCGTCTCAAATTCTACTCGCCATACTCGCAGGATACGAAGCTATCTTGCTAAGCAGATGTGAGTTTCGAAATCAGCAGGTCGGATAACCTCTGTGAGCAAGTTTTCCGATATGTTCGGGTTATTCCATTTTTTTTCGTTTTACGCTCCAGAAGCTCGCCGATGGATTTTGGTCAAAATGTTGATGCTCCTGAATTGTAAGGAAACTTCGCTTATAAAGGTTTTCGAACACGCTCTTTACGAAAATCGTGGTCTTTGAGGATTACAGGGTCTTTTTGGAGAGAAACGATGAGGTGACTGTAACTTCATCACGAAAGTACGTAACTTTGGCCGCACTTCTCGCGTACCTGTCAAAAACCTTGCCTGCTTGCTTTTCTCAGTCAAAGTTACTAGGAACTGTGCTATCGAATGGTGCATTACTATGAAATTCGCCGAGTTACGAGCCTACGAAAACACGTCCTCATGAATTTTGCCCAAAATGTAAAAATCGCATATCTCGTCGAAATCCCTCCGTGAGCGCTTGTATTAGGTCATTCGGAAAGTTTTTTCGTTTTTGCACCTCCAAATTCAAACGAGCACAATTTTTTTCTGATTCAACCTTTTTCCATCAAATACAGCCTGTCCCAATCAGGATCAGGCCGAACCGTCGGCTGAATTTGTGCGCTCGCAGCGCTAGGAGTTTGCGCTGCATACGCGCGTTGTCGCAGAGAGCGAAGAGATTGAGGAGAGAGCAGACTAGCTAGACGCAGAAGTGGCGCGAAACCCTCGCGACGCGCACTCCCGCCAAGCCATTTGGCCTGGTTAGGATTGGGGCAGACTGTAAACTGCATTGTGTTCAGCAAATTTCTGGTTACACTCTTATAGTGCTCTTGTGCTTTTCTCTTGCGAAATGATCTCAGAGGAATCACTAAAGCCTGAAAAGGCGTTTTTGATTAGTCAATTTCTATTAGGTCCTAATATTTTTTAATAGGCACCGAGGAATTGGAAAATTCGGTAACTGGTAAAGGAAGGACTAAAGAGTTTGAAAAATAAACAGGAACCTCGGAGCGCAGTCAACCCCTTTTGTGAGAGCCACTTTTCTTACATGTGGTTTGGCGGAGTCATGGGCGTGGATGGCATCTCTCATAGCTTATACGTGCAAGTCTGCTCAGTTTTGAAATTTTGACAAACAGTCTTCAGAGCGACATCACACTACTCTGCTCTTACAGTACAATCGCATTTAGACCAGCAGGATTACATTAATTTGAGTGCATCAACCTTTTGGAATGACAGATTGTTCTGGTCATGCTTTCAATGCTTATAATGATTTACCACATTGTCGCTTCTTATAGCCGCACTTGGCCAATTTTTTGCTGTAATTAATAACCCAGGCCGGCAAAGGATGGCTACATAAAATTATGAGCGACGAAAGCAGAGTCAACGCGCCCTCAATCTGAAAGTGCGACAATTTGTAGGGTACATGTCGGTGAAATTTTTCGGTATTGCAGCTTTAGCGAAGGTGGCTCCTAATAGGGTTATATGACACTTCAGGGCCTGCTGATAATTTTACGCAGCTATAATTGCGATTTGTTTCAATGGACCCTCTGAGATGCTCGTTTATATGGCAGAAACACCTTCCAGAACACTGCAAAATATTAGCTTTCACTTCTCTAGATCTGACCTTTCTGAAGTAAACTTGAACCTACCTCAAGAAAGACGTGGTCTTGGCAAATGCATTACGCACAATGATGGTTTCCTCAAAGGTCTTACGCTCAAATTTAAGCTTAGAGAATACAATTATTCGAAAATCGCGTTTTCGTATTCGAATTTAGATCCTCGTAAACTTCCCCACAAAGCGTCTTCTGCAATTTCGGTGGGATCCCAGAAACTAGAAGACTTCCTCTACAGATCCATATATGGCAACCCTTATCAGCCCCCTGGCACCCTCTTAAAATACGGTATCAACATCAAAGGCGCAAAAAGGAAAAAACTTTTTGAATGACCTAATACAACGCGCTTATCAAATCCTTTCACATTTAATGGATCTTATTGTGTTAGATTTGGTGCTTTGAGTTCTAACCACGAAATAGCTTTGATATTCAATTGAGCACCTGAAGCAGACGCAAGCACCATATTCAGTGCAGTGGGAGTCGTTCGACGAAGCGAACATAATATCTGCAACGAGCGTCATACAAGCGCTCACGGAGGAATTTCGACGAGATATGCGATTTTTACATTTTGGGAAAAATTTATGAGGACGTGTTTTCGTAGGCTCGTAACTCGGCGAATTTCATAGACTGGAGCCTGAGTAATGCACCATTCGATAGCACAGTTCCTAGTAACTTTGACTGAGAAAAGCAAGCAGGCAAGGTTTTTGACAGGTACGCGAGAAGTGCGGCCAAAGTTACGTACTTTCGTACGTAACTTTTGGCTTCCAATTGCACCGAGCAATAGAACTAGAAAAGCCTGTAGATCACTCAAAATTAGAGAAAGAGCGATAGAAATTCACTCAGCGTTTCCTACAGTACTTTTCTTACCATATGCCAAAAATGATCCAAAAATGTGATATTATCAG